GCACAAGTGAGGTTTTTGGCTTTTTTTCCCCCAAGGGACAAGAGCAGAACCTGAGGGCATTATGCCCCTGGGGCTGAGCCATTCTGCCAGTCCAAAAGGCTTCAGGTCATTTTCTTCTTTAGAGGGAATTCCCATTAAAAGACACTGCAGGAAATCAGATACAACTGGAACAACTTAAGTGTTACATGCAAGTACCCATTTTCATTCTAGATACCACAAAGACATCCATGGGGACTGACAGGTATGGCACAAGACATAAGGGAATCATGTGGTTTTCTTTTAAGCTCTTGACATCATTTTATAAACTCATGGCAAGCAAAACCAGAGAGAACAACCCTGCATACTGTGTCACTGAGCACGTGGAAAGTTTGCCCATCTTTCCCACCAACAGAAAACATGAAATATTCCCTCAGCACTGTGCTTCCATCTCTCCTCATGGCAAAAAGCAGAACTGTCAAGTGAAAAATCTTATGATTCTTCTTCACTACGTGGAAAAGGAGACTGGATACGTTAGCTTCAGGTCACAAGCCCAGCTCTGGAAACCCAGCAGTACCAACTCTAGAAGAAAGGGTTGGAAAGGTTGGAACACAGGGAGATACAGAAACTACATTTCTGTGAATGTCCCTGACTGTCTTCCTCCTTACATCTTCAGCACTTCTTCCTGTGCTATCCAGTAAGAGTGAACATACAAGCCACACACTACAAAATATACGAGCTCCTTGAAAGAAGATGCAAGTAAAATGAGGCAACGTATCTGCAACATACTAAGGAGGCAGGTTGTCATTAATAGGGTGAAACTTCCCAAATTGAAATCCAGCCATACAAAAGCCTGCCAACTTTTAAGTTTCATTCTGAAGTGAGAAAGGGTTCCAGTCCAAGCATCTTCTTGAGGAGTAAGACAGTGGTGCCTTTTATAACAAAATAATAATAATAATCTGGTGAAATGAAGCAATTTGCTTTGGTAAATATTACATGCATTTTTAACTACACCATTTTAAATCAGTTTTTAATATCTTATGCCCTTCTCAAACTTAATATTTGAAAAAAAAAAAAAAAAAAAAAAAGTTTTGAATGCAACCATACTTAATTAAAAGGTCAGTGACTAAAAAGACAGCCAAAAGAGAAATATAAACCATTTTTATTAACTTCCCTAACTGGAGCTCTAAAATTTTGTTGATTAAAGTCTAATTTCAAAAGTTAACTTTTTAATTGGGTATACTATGGCCTGCTGGCTCCAGGAAGTTTAGTAGAGGTCGAAAGATTGCTGGAGATCTAATTTTTCATTTCTATTGAAGAAGGAAATCTTGCCCTTTTCCTTGCAAAGGCAGACCTTGAAGTGTTAGCAGGGAAACAAAGAATGTATCCATCAAAGGCCTTCATCATAAGGTTACATAGCCTCACAAGGTGGTATGGAAGCCAACAGAACACAATACCACTCCAAAGAAAATTAGCTGAACATCTCACAGAGTCCAAGAAGTGAGAAAGGTTCACTGACTGGTGCCTAATCCAAGACTGAGGAGATCAGTTCCATCTCAGATTTTGTGGGTGACTTAGAATGTGTCACTTAGCTTTGGTTCTGCAACTGGAAAATGAAGATAAATACTGTCGGCTTCCCTTATAGTGACATGAAAATAAACACATGAAACGGGAAGACATTCAAACAGCTTGGCGAGAGAGTCTAAGCATTGCAGACAAATAGGAAATAACCAAGTAGAGCCCCACACAGAGAGGAGATGCTCCACAATCCTTCCTGAAACAAAAAAAGAACAGAGGAAGCAGGGGAGAAAAAGCACCTGGCACTTTATGACTCAGTGCAAGTTTACACACAAGAAACCAAGGCACCAAACTTTCTCCCCTCTCCTTCTGCTCCCAACACTCACGTTTAACAGGTTGTTTTGCTTCAACATTTAGCAGGAAGGCTCTTTTACAAACAACTCGGAGAAGAGGCCTCACTTGGCTGCCCTGCACTGACCTGGAGGAACTCATCCCATTTCTCTGAGTACAAAATGCTGCTGAAGCCGCCTGAAAAATGTGGACATGGAGCTGAGAAAGCTGCCCAGGGGAGAAAAACCCGCCCTGAACTTACCTCCATGGGCAAACTCTGGGATATTTACACAAGATAGCTGGCAAGGGAACTCTGTAAGGACTCTTCTCATGTGGAAAAGCTTTTATTTGCTAAGGTTTCATACAACAGGATTTGGTTTACAACTAAGGGATCATTTTCCAAAGAGCTTCAAAGGGGGAGGGGGGAGCTAAGGTGGTGGTGCTGAGAGAGATAAAAGACTTTTACCTTGTAAAATATGACTGATAAAAGGCCCAGGTGGTAGCATTGGAAAGCATTACAAACAAAATCGTGGACAGTCACACAGTTCCTATCGCAGCTGCGTATAGCAAAAAAGGACCACAAACAGAGTGAAACATTCCCTGATGGAAACAAACCGATAGTGCACCTGGACGGCCCAGCCCGCATTGTTCCCAGTGACCCCGGAGCCCTGCAGCCCAGCCCATAAGTCACCCCCAGCCCGGCCTGGCGCTTCCCAGCTTCTCCCTCCCGGAAACGGCAGGGCCAGCTAAAGAGCCCTTTGTTTCCATTGAAACATATGTAAGGGTGGAAAAGCTGTTCAAAACATTAAAGAGAAACAACCAAGGACTGTTGCTATTCCAAGAAATGAATTACAAGCTGGAGGCCGCAGTGCCCTGAGTGCTCGCAGTGCCAGCTGCAGTCAGATGGCCTGGGAGTGCTCAGAGCTGCTCAGACCATGGGAGGCACCCAGCTCACACAGACCTGGTGCTTCAAAACCCACCATCTCCTTCGTACTGATGGCTTTTTGCATTATAGCTCTGCTTCTGACACTGGAAAGGTTTTATGAAGAGAATAATAAAGTTTCTGTAGGTAGCTCGTCAGAAGGGTGAAGCTCCTCCCAAATACTGCCAGCAGCTAATAAGCCATCTTCCTTTAGAACATTAGCACTGGCAAGTAACATAAACAACGTAAATGAAAAGCTATGTCAAAGTTACTGCATTGTGGGTTTCTGTGTCAAACAAGATAATGAAAGCCATAAACTGATGTAACATGAGTTCAGGTTGCAGATAAAGGATTAAGCTTTACAAAGAATTATAAATAAAAGATGTCACTGAGAATTTTTTTTTTAAATCTGAAGTCTATAACTTAGAGGGAACTAAACACTTAGTTGTATTACATAATTTGCATTTTTGTATTAATTAAATGGCACACAGGAACCACGAACTTATTGTTTGCCATTTCAGGCTGAGGGTGTTCAGGCATAATTCAGAATGCAGCAGCAGACTTGGCTAGAATTCTACTCACATTTTCACAGAGGCTGGCTGGCGACACGTACATTACAAAAAAAGAAGAATAAGCAGATATCCACGTAAGATAAATACATTCCATTCCCTCAAACTGCACTCAATGCAGACAATTAAATCCTGTTTTCCCTCTCCAAATGCTTCCCACTCCTTTCATTCTGACACTGCCAAGCACACACCACCATTTTTTGCCTCTTCAGCCCAACCACACCCAGCCATCCATGCCCAGGCCACATACACATTTTGCTCCTTCTACCACACTATTTTTTGAAGAAACGCATTGTCTTCCATTTCAAAGACTACCCTGTTAGTCTCAGTGAGAACTAAGGGAGAGAGAACCAAGAACCTAGTTTAGCGACAACTATTGGTGGGTGATGGTTGGACTGGATGATCTTGTAGGTCTTTTCCAACCTTGGCGTTTCTGTGATTCTGTTCCCATCTAATCTCTCTTGTCCCTATGACTCCTGAGTCACTCCATTGATTCACTTGGGCCACCCAAAACCAAGGCAATATCTCTATGTTTTGAAAATGCTGCTTTTTGCATCTTCTTCCATTTTGTCTCTTCCCTCTAAAACAGACAATGAAAGTATTGAATTTTCTTTTCCCTCTCAAATAATGTTGCCTTCTTCCAAGTAACTTCTTCATAAGAGTTCTACATCCAACACAATGACAACAAATATATAAAGCACTGTAAATCTCTTTAGCAGTTCTACATAGATCTCGAAGTGTTTAAAATATTGTATATGCTTCATACATTGTATTTCTTCTTTTCCCATACCATCCTCTACTCAATTCTCCAGAAAACCAAGTCCAATTGCAGGCTTACTGTCTGGAATGTGCATCTTCATTCCTGCTAAACCATCTCATCACTTTGCCATTCTACATATGCTTTTGATTTCTCTGGATTCAAAGGCTTTAGGATCAATTCTGCCCCATAGGACATTTGCACATTGCCAAATCAAGGCTGAAAATAAATACAATACGCCAACAATGATCACTGTAATTAATCAGCAGGGACTTGAATATATTTTAATTTCAAAGGTAAGTAATACGCACCTGTCTCTCAGGTTTTCAAGTTTCTAATGAAAGAGTAAGATACCAGAAAAAGCAACTTATAGTTCAATGTTAAGAAGCTCTAATTTAAGGTCTGATTTTCAACCTACACTGGTATTAAGTGCTTAAAAATAAAAACAAGAAAAACAAACCAGCAGAACACAGGCAGAGCCAGAACTCACTCTCTCAAACGCACTTACATTTTTTATAACAGTTACAAAATGAAGTTTCTGATTTTTAAGAAAATCAGCCTCAACAGAATTGAGCCATACAGTCATGCACTACCACATTCTGAATCCCAGGTGGCACAGTAACCACGTATGTAGAGAAGGAGTTCTGTGATATTAATACAGAAAACAGAGGCCATCCATGCAATCTCATTCATACCATGCTTCTACTATTTCATATGTAAGATAAGACACAGGAAATGATCTCCATTTAATGAAAAAGGTAGAAAAATGAATCTGGATATTTATGAAGTGTCAACCAGACCAGTATGTCTTGCATGTAACTGAGATACATACAGAAGTACTTTAAAGAAGGATATGTCAAACAAGCAAAGAAGTTGTTCTTTTGTTAGAAGAATAAGCCACACTTACATCACTCAAAACAGCTCATACTATTTCAAATGCTTTTTTTATTATTCTTTCCATCATTATCAGTGAGGAAAAATGGACTTGCATATTAAGGCTAGACTATGCTTAGAAGTATCAGATAATGACTATAAATAAATTGCTTTTAAAATGTGACACAGGCATAAAAAATACTGGCTATCTTGCAATTCAATGCTGTCTTTATGGTAACTGTTGACTTGTATCACTCAAAGTTTGCACAAAGACTACATATTAGAAGAAACTAATGTAATAGACAAGTCTTGCTTTTAATTTAATGATAGCTGTAAAAATTAAAAAAGATACGTATGCATTTATGTAATGACCACAACATTACCAGAAAACAGTAATTTTAAAATACTGCATGTAGTTTCCAAAACTAAAAAAATCTCAGATCTTAAAAGAAAATCTAAATTCTTCAACTGATAAAAAAAAGCACGTGAACAAACAATATGAGGTCAGAAAAATATCAAACAACACTCATGGCACACACAAACTACTTTCAAGCAGAAAAGGACAGTTAAAATAGTACAGAAGTATTGCTTGTATTCTCTTGAGTTTGTGCTACTTATCTCCAAATTCCAGTTAACTGCAACAGAACGTTAAAAAAAGCATGTTTAAAACAAATAAGTTTGGATAGCCATCAATATTTAGAAGTTACAAACGTTTTAAAGATGTACAGAAGAAAAATAGGAATGCGTAGAGTAAGAGTACTCACTTGCAACTGTAACCTGTGTGCCATGCTACCTTCTGACATGGATTCCCTGCATGATCTTTAAGTAAGTTTCCTAGTTTATCAAATGCATTTTTCCTCAAAACTCAAACAGTGGTGATATTGTCCTTCCCACATTACAAGTACAAGCATTAGAAGAAAGAAATTCAAGTACTGCGATGGAAAATTCAGAGGAATCGAGATCTGTTTTTTAATGCTAAAAGTGCAGGAGGCAAACCAACAATCCCTAGCAAAGCACAGGAAAAGTACAGTTTCACTAGAAGAAAATTCAGAGAAACAAGAAGTTACTGAGGGAATGCAGAGAGAATTCGATGGATCCAAGAAAACACTAGTAAATATTTAGAACAGGAAAACTTCTATGCGTACCACAGGAAAAACGTCCCACTCCTTTCATTACACAAAACCAACACTAACAAACTTCAGTTCTAAACACTTACCTTTTCCAACTTAGAAAAAAGATCTAGCTAGCTTGCTAAAGTATGGTTTGTACTGTTCAACAGTGAATGTTTTCTCCTACCACATAGGCATTTTACGTAGGGTACCAAGTGATAACTTTCAAATTGCACAATTGTGAAAGGATACGAGGAGTTCCTTCTGTCCTGCACACCAGGTAGAGACACGCAGCAATTACATGGGTCATCTTCCTCCCCCGGGTTAGATGCTTGCTTACAGCCATCTTGAAAAAATTGAAGGCAGTATCCAGACAATGTTGATTGAGTTGAAGCTGGTTTCCTAAGTGGTGAATCTGACGTTTTCCTAAAAAAATTAACAAGGAAAAAATTCTGAACAACTTCACAGTCACTTTTTGGGGATTGAGGGAGTTGAAGACAAAACCAAAAGAGCTGATTTGGGATTTCTCTGTGTTAAATAGAGAAGTTAGAACACAGCAATCACTCATGTTCCTGGGAGCAGCATCATTTCTTAGGAAAAAAAGAAAAAAAAAAAAAAAAAGCCTTATTTTGGACTCCTATAACTGAAATGGGTTCCATCAGTGAGCCCTGGAAAATGAAAGCTGCATTCATAAAGATCCTCCAAGAGAGAATCCAAAACATTGCTGAGGCTACTCAGATAAAAGATTACACACCCCTCCCCAAACACAGTTTGAAAGTTAGCACTATGGAGATGAGCTTCTGAAAACTTCAGATCACTGCACTTTTGACATTAATGTACAAACAAATGAGACATTCTGCTGCATCCCTCCAAGAACTGATGAAGTTTGCAGTTCCTCTGACCACAGCCTGAGCCTGTAAGGAAAGGAGCTGCTCTGAGAGCTTGTCTGTGATTACAGAGATAGGGAGGCACTTCCTTCCTCTGAACACTTTCACAGCAGAGCCTTCATTTAAGGTTCGGCTGCCGGAGTGCAGAGATTCGTTTGTGGCTTCAGGAAAACAAATGTGCCTTCATCCTTAAACAAAATAATGAAAAAAAAAAGTGCTTCAGATGATTCATAGCAGGAAGTGGTACAGCTGCTAAGACAGATGTGGAAGGCAAAGTCTCGTCCATTCTCACCACTCCAGCTACAGAAAAGTACGTCGAACAGACAGCTTAAAAAGAAGATGGGGGAAGTCATGAGGAAAACAGTACTGAAGTTAGGCAGCATTAGGGGTCAGACAGCACATCAAGAGAAATCCTTTAATTCAATGTGTTGGACAGATGTTTCCAGCACGTGTATGCACAGGAAACACTCATCTGCTCCTTTCAGAGATGTTACGAGCAGCTTTGCTGAAGCTGGCACAAAGCCGGCCCTGTGCCTCCATCACCTTTCCTATGGAGAACGACTGCACGATGCTCACCCAAGTAACACCCACAAACATTGCACTTCTTAATTTTATGCAAATTCCCCTATAATCATCACTAATAACACAGTGAAACATTTAACCTCTGAACAACCTTCTGCTAAAGCGCCGTTTCAATTTGGCTTTAATAAAGACTCCAGAAACCCAACCAGGGTCAGTAAAATTCCAGACAAACAGAATCTACAAGAAAGCTGCAGCTTCTGCTCTCAGCACACACAGCAATTAATGCAATCATCAGAGAGCTCTCCTCTAAGTCTCTTTGAGCAACCAAGTATAACCCATTCGGATGAAGAAGTAATGACAGGAAGGGTATGTCACCTTCCACAGGAGGCACTGGCACAGTAAGCTACTCAAGAGTAATCCAAAGCCCATCAAGTGAGCAGTTTTTCCACTAACATCAGCACACACTGAACTGGGGCTCTGATGTCATAGTTTCAAAAAAAAAAGTAAATAAAGTAAGATGTGGAGAACATTTGAGAAGAGTTTTCACAAAAGCATAAAAGCAGAAGCTCCTATGCGAATGATGAGCCACTTGCACTCCTGAATGTTTCTAGGGCTAACAGCAGAACTGGTAAGCAGAGCCAGCTCCACAATGGTGTGCCCCACAAGGGAGTGGGTCTAACATTATGCAACCATTAGGCAAGCACTGATAAGCAAGCTTGCCATGTCACCACTAGAACAGCAGCAGTTGATGCAGTCCTGGGCACACACCAGAGAATCCAGGGTGCCTGGGGTTCTTCCGGCCCAAATGCAAAACCTTGCACTTTGATATATCATTGATATTCTCTAAGTAGTTAACCTTCTCATAATTTCAAATGTTGAAGCATAATTCATCATAATTCATCCTAAGTAAATAGTACGCTTGTTTGAGTAATACAGGTTTTTTAGCTGAGCTTTTCATCCAGCATCAATATTTTAAACGCAATTACTTTAGGGGTGGCCAGTTATTGTCTAGTGACAAATACCAAGGAGATCAGAAAGCCCACAATGCTACTCATCCACTTAGGAAATGTTATTTCATTAAGTGTTTCATTTGACCTTCAGCAGACCACTGAATGCTTTAACTCTGTGTGCTGGTTGTTTCTGAAGCTGCTCTGCAGTATTAAGGCATTCATACAGTTAAAGCAAAAATACACCAACTGTGATAATGCCACTGATCTCCAAATGAAGAACTTAGAACAAAAGGTGTCTTAGAAGTGATGTGCATCTCTATGACTAACTTGGTTTTGTCCTTATCTGTTACAGGAGAGGGAGAAGGTACTATGTATAGCATCAACGATAAATATTTACATGTTGCCCATCTCTCTTAACTTTACACAACAAGCTTCTATTTTGTTGTTATCTTAAGCAACAGAAAAAAAATACAAAAAGCCACTCACACCTGGAAAAGTTAATATATTAATTGTTCAGGATTTCTGCACAAGGGACACAAGATACATAGATCACTCTGAAAGTAATTCCTAACTATTTCCATGGAAACTACAACAGGTACAAAGAGCACAATAACACTATTAAATAGAGCTAAATATCAGCTGCAATACATAATTTTTCAGCTATGCACTTTTGCCAGCAACGAACATGAGCCTTCATGCTGCACTCGTAACAATCTGCACCAGCAGAGGCGACCCACTGCCACCACTGATGGACTCCATCACCCATCACCTCACTGTGCTCACATCCACTGTATGGTCTCCAAAAATATTCAGCAAGCATTGATGATTGCCAATGGATGAAACATTTTCTGCAAGGTGGAATTCAGCGACACACCTTTGCTTCCTACGCGCTTCCATGCCAAGCGCCATTTTGTCAGACTGCCCCTCTGCTGCCATCTGTCACACAGCAACAAAACGTAGAGGGATACTGGTGGGAAGGTTCATCCTCTACTGCCATGCCACCGCCATCTGCCTCCAGTGTCATAATAAAATAGGAGGCATTACTTTCGCAGCAGCCCTCGTACTTCATACCCCGATTCCTCCACAGATACAAGAAGTGCTTCCACCTAAAAGGTAACTGCCAGGAAAAGGCAAGTATCAGTTGGATGGTTATTGCCTCAGTAACTAGGATCAAAAGTATATTGTTCGTGATTTCCAGTCCTTTCTGCCAATCTCAGTGATCTGACACTTCCACAACTGAGAAATTTTGTTTAACTATCAATACAGCAATTGACATCTGAAGAGCAGATGTTAACACGTGAGAGAAACTGTAGCTAAGAAAATAACTGATCAATATAAATTCTCTACCCAATACTCCAGTTACAAAGAAAAATACAAACTGAGACCAAATACGCTCTCACATCACCAATCCTCAACAAGCAACCCCCTCCAGCAAACCTACAATATGCATCATGCCCCCCAGACCTGGAACGTACTTCTGCTCCCACTGCTCCTCACTAGTTGGGTGGCATTTTCTTACCTTTTATTTCTTGTTCCTCTCCTGACTGCCCCTACAGCTGGCTCTACACTACCAGCATGGCTTCCATCAGCCCTAAATGCTGGCTGATGCCCATTCTGCCGGTCTGACCATATGGTCCCAGCGTGCAGCTAGTTGCTCCAGCTACCCACAAGAACACATTAAGCCTCATGGTCTCAGCCAAAACAGTAGGAATATCCAACACTGCAACACAATTTATTAGCAATCTGTTCAACCCAGTGTACACCAGATTACATCGCAGCGTTACAAACTCATCAAATGAACTGAACTGTTCTTGTGGATGGAAAAAAATTGACATGCCTTTAAACCACATCATGCTCCAGGTCATAAAGCAAAATACAACTTCCTGACTTTCTCATCCATTTTATCCAGTAGAATGATTAAAAATATAACAGTTAGGTACCCTCTCTTGTGTTGTCAGCAGCACGCAATATTGGTCGCCTTTCTAGGGTCTTACAGGAAAGAAATATTTTCCTTTAAAGAGAGAAGGAAGAAGAGGTCTAGAAACAACAGAAATACCAAGCAGCTGCCATTTATTTCTCTAAGGCAAATCACACCATTGGGCAGGGTGGGGAACACAAAAAGGAAAGGACAAGAGACAAAAAGCAGCTTGCATTTCTGTGAGGATCACACAAAATCAAATCCCCAGGCTACCAAGTAGTAAACTTTATCACACTCCTAAATTATCATCTAAAAAATAAAAGGCCCTTTTCTGTTTTTAGGACCAAGCCCACTAAAAACATGCATATATCCACTTAATTCCCAGCATGCAGGAAGGAACACAGTTGTCTTCTCAGCTGATGCCAACCTCAACACTTCGAGCTCGCACAGAAGACTGAAGTTCAGGTAGGACAGCTGAACCCTGTTAACCATTTGTTTCAGAAATTTTCCATTCTTTGGGCTGAGAAAACTGCTGTAATTCCAGAACAAAATATAGAAACTGCCGCAAAAATAGATGTGAAGAAAAACCTGGCAATATTAAACACTTACACAAGAAGAGGTTGGGAGCAAAACCGCAGCTTATGTTCTTCAGAAAAGGGGCAAAAATCAGATCCATCCTTTACAAGCAATTTTCTTTCTT